TGCTCTTGGCTGGGTGTCCCTTTCTTGACTGTAAATGGACATTTATAAATTGCCTGTATGTATCAGGTCTAAGGTGCTTCACTGTTATTACGGATCAATAATTCCTAGCAACTCCGGATGGATTTTCAAAACACAAAAACCAAGCAAACCGCAAAATTTTACTTGAAAGTATTCTACTTTGCTACCTTTATTCATTCAGAGGGAAAAATGACCATGCCTGTTACCTGAAAAAATATCATTTAACTGCACAAACGATAAGTGCTGTTTCATTACTGGAGTACAGTTACTGTGAATATCGGTATGGTGAGATTTTCACATTAAGTCTGAATACGGTAAACCCTGGCAGGAGAAGAATGAAGTGTACAGAGCTTGGTCCCATTTTACCCAAAGACTATTTTTCTTGGAGACAAGAAAGAAATTAAAGTAGAAAGAATAAATGGCTATTTTCACTTCTACGTGTTTTATAATGGAATAAATTAAAATTCTGAACTGCTCCAATGCATTTAAATTGCGAGTAATACCATGGAAGGCAGGGAAGGGGGAAATCTATTGAAAAATCCACTTTTTAGTTTTAATAATGGCAGAAAACTGAAGAACTCCATTCAGAATTGAGTAATTTTTTTTGTTTTAATACTTCTGACTGGAACAAAAAAAAAAAATTAAATCTTTCAACGGCATAAAAATGTTTTGCTTTACTTTGTGGATCTAAAAACTGTTTTATCTCAGCTTGCTTGGATATTCAAATGCCTGTCCCCTTACCAATCCTTCCTTCCCAGGACTTGTCTGATGTTTCATAGCTTCACACTCACTTTTGGAACTGACAGAACCATCTCTTCTACCACGACGTCTTTGTGGCTCAGTTCCAAATGGCACGTAACAAAACACTGGGAATCCCAGTTTACAGACACTCAAACACTTGGGGTTTTGACTGACATCTGCAAGAACTGCTTCTGGAAAAGCAAAAGTCCAAACAGAAAAATTCTGTTTCCCCAAATGCCTAGTTTTCTACTGAAAAAACTTTCAGTTGGAAGACTTTGATCACCCTTCATTTAAAAGCAAGGTAGGATGAAGACGGTAGAAACTCTATATACAAATTATCTAATAACTAGACCACAAAACATGGGAAGTTGCACAGACAACTAAATAAATTGTCTGCTACATTCCAAACTTCCCGACAGTCACAGCTTCACTGGGAGATAAGCATTCTTCAACAAAACAGTAGTGTTTTTCCCAGGGTAACTCCTGCTCAATGCGAGTCGCACTCTGCACCAATTTCCACACAATTTTTATTTCCTGTATCTTTCCTTGGGTTTCATCCTCTTCCATCCAAAAACAATGGGGATGTTTCCCATGGTGACCTGACCAGCCAGGGCTGGAGGGACCAGGGTGCAGGACCTTGCCTTAGGTGAAGGCTTTTTGGGTCTTGCAACAAGAGCCTCTACATCTCCCACCACCTGCAGTCCCCTCCAGCCACATGCTCTCATCCAGCCAGGTGGAAATTCAGCTTACACTGGATAAATTATGGTTTTCCTCTTGGTATTTTTTTTTGTTACAAGGACACTCTGCTATATTTCAACCCAGGAGGGATTTCTGCCAGTCCAAACCTATGACACCAACCACGCTTTCTGCTGACAGACACGGGCATCCTCCAGCACCGACCACAAGTGCAGCAGTGCTGGACCCTGCACCACCAGGCAGCCAGGATATCACCATCTTGGTTTACAGCTTTCATCCTGTGAACTACTGCTTTTGGTCATGGTGACCCCTGTGTGTGATTGGGTTTGTTTTTTTGTTGTTTTTTGAAACAACAGTACATACTCCTGGAGGAGTCTATAAAATGTCTTGCTGCCACAGTCATTGAGAAGGATTCGCTGAACTGAACCAGGCCATGATTTGCAGAGACATCTACATCGTGTCTCCTGACCTAGTCAAGCTCATTAAACTAATGCAGTGTTAGACACTACTGAACTACCCATCCGTGGCACTGGGATCTTAAACCAAGCTGAGGGTGGTGTCCTAACAGAGCAGCAGAGCTTCCATTGCTACATGCTGCTGTGCAAAAGCCAGGTAAACCTAATTACAGCAGTCTCCAAAAGGTATGGCTCCCCATGGTAAAGCCACTGGAGGAGCCCATCGAGGCTCTGCCTCAGGAGGGTTGTTGTCAGGGTGGGACCCTGTCCCCAAGCCCCATCGCTCCAGTTACACCTGCGAGGTACAAGAGGCCACCAAGTCCAAATGAATCATCATGCAGGGCTTGGCAATCCTTCTTACAGTAGCCTGAGTCCATAACATTGCATTTACTGAAGCTTTAACAAAGTGCTTTTCTCATAACAGGCTTATTTTGTTAGGAAAAATATGCGTTGTCCTGATTTTTTTCACAAGCACAGTTTTATCCCATTCTTCCCTTCCCAGAAATTATAATGGAAATTATGAAACATGGAAACCAATTCATAATATACATATGTAATTAAATTATTATTCATTCATTAGTTCCAGTATCCTCAAAATAAATGGTTTGATGAGACATCATGCTTAGCATAAGAACAAAACCCTTTGGAGTACATTATTCAGAGTATGTTTATTTCCAAATTATTTCCCCTCCATCACGTCAGTCTTAAATACATAGGATCTTCAATGGAGTGAAATAACTTTTGCACTGTTCTGAGAGCAAATGCACTCCTGCAGACTCCATCCAGCCCATGCTAACCAAAGGTGCCTTCCTAAAATTTTGCACTTCAGAATTCATGGGGATATGTGAAAGCTTCAACTTTCATCAAAAACACCCTTCAGTTTTATGAAAAGCAAAACCAAACCCTCAAGGTTTTAGAAAACAATTTGAATTCATGACATACTAAAGAAACCCCCCCCTTAAAATTCATGAAATAGATATAAGAATGCAAAATACACAATGTATTAAAAAAAACCCACTCTTAATTCAGTGCGTGAAAAAAAAAAGCCAAGAAAAACCTTCAGGAGAAAAAACTGCATTTGAATCATATGAGAAAATGAACTTGCTTGCACTTTGGCCACATAAAAGTTTTGGCATTGAAAAATTAATAAATTTCTCAGTAGTTACTGCACGAAGGAAAAAAACACCCCAGAGTAGAGCAGAGGAATTAATTGTACTTAAAGCGAGGATGGCCTGCAGGGATGGCCCGCTTTAGTGAAAAAGGCCAAAGGGATGGATGGCGGAACAAAGCACCCAAAACAAAAAGCTTGCCTCGGCATCTCCCGCGCCCCAGTTTTCAATAAATCCTGTTGCATGTGTCTGCTCTGTCTCGTTACAATTTGTGCTGGGAAAAAGAAATAACCCAGTGAAAAAGGCTGTTTTTAATGTCACCAAAACCAGAGAGTAACGGACAAAACGGAACTTGCCCTTTATGAGCCAGCTTTCCCAAGTGATGCTGCCCCAGAGTTTCAGGTAGATGCTCTCAGATAGGGACAGGCAGTGGAACTCAAACCTCCCACAACTTATGCATTGATTTCCATAGAAAGCCATGTCTAATTAGTACCTATCTGCTTGATTTCACTTCTATTATTAACACATACAAATAGCTGCAGCAGATTGGATCCACGACCCATCTAGTCCAAGATCCTACCTCAAGCCATGGTCTGTAACAGATGCCCAGGAAAAATGTGCACAGAGCAGGGCAAGTGGGCAACAATGCCCAGTCTGTCCTCCCAGCTCCAGTATATACTGGCTAAGGGGCTTCTAAAACTGGAGATTACATCAAAACCATCACGTTTGATAATCTCTGATAAACCTCGCTCCATAGGTTAGATAAACTACTTTTTATGAATCCCTGTCCAATCATGAACCACCATGATATATTCTCCTACTGTAAAAGCAGTTAAGCAAAACTCCTCGGACAGAAATATCAGGCGAGCTTGAGATTAAATAAGCTTGGGAAAATTCAGTCTGGATACATTCAAAAAATAAATACATCAAAATGTATGTATCTCTGCTAAACCCTGCAGTCTTTAATCAAAATTCCCACTGAAGTGAATAGCGAAAGGCAAGTTGTTGCCAAAGTTCATAGCGAGAGCCATGGGATGAGAAGCAAAGTTCTGTCAAAAATGAGGAATTGTCAAGGAGAGGGAGCAGGAGGAGAGGATCGGTTCTCGGCACGACAATCTCAGGCTGCCTTGAAGTCGAGGAAGCTCAAAGAGCCCCTTAAGCCAGTGCTCAGGAGTCTGCTGAACTGGGGCCTGAGCAGCTATTATTTATACTCTTACCACACAGAAACGTGAATTCCATTGGAAAGGGGAAAAAAGAAAAAAAAAAAAAGGAGAAAAGGGACAGTAGCACGTACTGTCACAGACTCAGAGCTACTATAGATATCTTTGTTCTGCAGACTTTGTGGAGAGAATTTAAGCCAGCAGAGGGATGTGATGGATTTTTACTTAGTGATTTAACATGCTGGTATTTAGCTACACATGTAACTCACATGCTTGTTTAAGGTCTAAAACCAGCCACTCTGTACACACAACCAAAGTAAAGTCAGCTCTCGAGAGACCTTAGCTACAGCAACCCCAGAAGGTTCTAAAGCCCAGGGCCACCTCAGCCTGTGCCACAGCAAGGGTTCTGCTCCCTCAGTCACTGCCACCACTGCCAAGGATTGCAAATTCAAGGGCACGTCAGCCACCTCCTATGCCTGAGACCACAAACACAACCATGGTGTGAACAGCACCCAAGCAGCCCACAGGTTGGGCTGGGAAAGGAACACACACAACAGCACAAAAAGCATTAACAGCTTTATCTTTCTACAATCAGACAGAAAGCAAAGGAGTGCAGCCTGTCCACTGCCCAGCTGGACCCAGACCACCTCCTACACCAACTCACTGCACCTCAGAAGCAGGTTTAGACAAATAAAAGCTTCTGCTTCAAAGGTAAGTCCCCTAAGAAATCCTCCCACAGGACCAGAGACAAAACCCTGAAGCCTTCAAACCATTTTACTTCCAAATTATAACCAAGTAAAACAGAAAATTTCATGCCTTACCTGCTCCAAAGGCAAAGAAGAAACTCTTGTCTGTATTTTCCCTTAAAAGCGCCATCACTCTCTTCCCCATCCTCTCATTCCTTTTGTAGATGAGCTCCTGCCTGAAGTAGCTGTCTATCTCCTGAGCCGTCACCTGCTCGTGGGGTGGGAGTGTTGTGTTGATGAAATTAGGGACCTGAAATGGAGAGAGAGAGAGTAGCTCAGGTGATAGCAGTTAAGTAAACCCCCACACCCTGGATGTTTGAATCTAGCCTTATTTAAACCACCTGAGCAACATTATCAAACAAAAAGCCCACCAGAGGATGGGAGTTTGTGAGGTTGCTGGGAACTTTACAAATTAAAAACCAAATTACCAATTAACACCTTTTTTTTTAAAGTTAAACTAGTATTTTACTAAATGAAACTGAAGTTCACTTTGACCTTTTTCTGTTCCTTCAGCAGAATGTAATTCTAGGTGTTATATTTGGGTGAGTTACTAAAACCTTTACTCTCTACTTGTTTATCATAGTTTGTTGGCTGTTTAACACCAGAACAAGTCCTGTAATCAGTTCTCAGCCAAGGTCATCATGAACTTGAGTAAGGACTGCAAGATTTGGCTTGCAAATGCTCCTTTTTAACAACCTAACAGTTAAAAAAGTAGGAAAGGTTAGGAAATCCAGATATAGGAAAATGTAAATGGTAAACTCCCACATCTTTCTTGCAGCTTTAGATGCTATTAGGTCTCACCAGAGAAGACCATGCATAGCAGCACATAAATCCCTGGAATATTCCTGATATTTCCAGGAAGCAGAAGGGATTTCCACAAGACCTGCTCCCTCAGTCCCCATTTTTGTGAGAAGAGAGGTTTGTAGGCCCAGAAGAAAAGTGGAAACCCCAAGGCCTGTTCGAATCAGGGCAGCAGAACTAGGAATGGACTGAGACCCAAGCTATAGCAGACAGACAATTGAGAAGTCCCTGAATGTTAGGACAGGCAACTTGTTTTGACACAATGAGGGTCCACGGTCTACCATGAGAGTTTGGGATCCCAGAAGCCCTGCAGCGAGAGGTGCTGTAGGTGGGCCGTGTTTGACGACCACTAACAGGACCCAGGCACCTTCTGGTGATTTTCTGTGCTTCACCACTGGAAAGCAGCTTAAGCTGCAAAACCCCAGATTCAGGTTTCTGAGTCCCCGGGTACACTTAAAGCTGCCAGGATTTCCAGTGTTAATCTGTGTCGGTGGTAAATGCTGTTGCACGAACAGCCCTTACGGGGAACATCCCTCACTCACTGTGCTGAAAGACTTGATGCAAGGTCTCTGTTACTTTGGTTAATTCTTTCTCTGGTTTTCTACTATACCAAATTCTTGTATTCATTTTCTAAAACTTGCCTTTAGTCTCCACTTCTCAGCCCACCTCTTACCCTCCCACTTGGCCACATGATTTTATGACAATTTTTGTCTCTTCCCACCCTCTTCACTCACACTGCCTCTCCAAAAGCTTTCAGCAAGTTTTAGGGAACAAACTAATTTCCATGTTCCCACTGGCTCTCCTTAAAGCTTTTTCATTGCAGCCTCATCTGCAGCTCTCCTGGTAGGGGAGAGAGTAGCAGAGATTTCTCACCTTGCATTATGCAGAAGGACAAGTCTAGGCCTTGCTCTGGGTTCCCACCAAAGGTTGTACCCAGCTGGGTGAGACAGAAATGGGCACCGCATCTCCTGAGCTGGGGAATCCCATGTGGCTGGAGTTAATCTGCTGCCAACAGCAACCTGCCCTAGCCTGTTGGTCCACATGGACCAGGTAGACCTTGGATTTTCCATACATTACAACTTCCCAGCCTGCTTTGCCAAATCACCTTACTTCTCATAGCATGTCCCTCCTAAAGGGTTTAATTGCATTACCCTGAGTCATTCCTTCCTCCGGGCTTTCCATCAAGGCTTGGCTTCACCAGTGCATCTTGTGAACTCCTCAGAGCATGAAAGTACTTTTCACCTTGTTCTCAGTTTAGCCCTTTGCCAGCACTCAACAAATAATAACAGTCCCATTAAGCCAGACCTATTGGAGACACCAGTTTCCTGTTAATACACAAGGAAGCTGCCCCCATGTCTGGTGAGAACATGCATTGGTCTCAAAGGGACACAGGAGCAGCCTCCTGGCGTCGGAGGGGTAAAATGCTGCTGTAGTAAAGTAAAGGCAGTAAAGGATGTCATGGCTTCAATTCCTGGTGAAAGGCAGGGAGAGTTTTTAACTGTAGGAATAAAGTCTGAGGAATGAGTAGCCATTTTACACTTGCAGTGGTTTCTGCAACACAAAGCTGTAAATCATTTGGCCCACGCAGATATCAAAGCCTTTGTATCTCCTCTGTACCAGGGCTCTGTGTTTAATGGGTTGATGCAGCTGAGCCAGGAGCGTTGGGAGACTGAAAGAGAAGGTGAAATATTTTGGGAACACCTGAAGGCTCAACACCCACATAAGAGAAGTCTCCACTTCCCTGCTTTTTGGCTTCACTTTTGGGAAAGTGAAGGCTGGGTACTGATGGGACCTGGTCTTGAACAACCTGTGATGCTTTGGGGAAAGCAAGGTATGGCATTGCCTGCGAGGACAACTGGCTTTTACTCAAAGTAGAAGCCACAATACTGGGGGATCGAAAGGCTTTGCACATCCCATTCCAGCCAGAGGAAAGCTCTGACGCTGGAGGTCAAGGTAGCCCAAGGACAGAAGTTGTTTTCAAACATTGATCAAGATGATCTTTGCCAAGAAGACATGGACCTTCCTTCAGCTGGTGCAGCTCCATCACTTGCCACCCTACGTCCACATTCAACCCAGATTGTTCCCCCTCCTTACCTAACCTAAAACACAGTCAACAAAATGCAGCAATTTACTTGCCTTTTTTTTTTTTTCCCCTCCTTTCTTTCTCTTCTGTGGGAAAGAGTTTGACAACGGCAGAGAGATAAATTTAAAACCAAGGACTGGGTTTTATCAGCATTTCTCATGCTTGTCCAAAAAAACAAGACAAAGGAAAGCATCACCCCTAGAGGCTCATTTTCAGCTACAGGTCCTGCTGCACCCTGTGCATTCCTGCACTTGGGATGACTGCTCCACCACTGGCAAAAATAAAACATGCGCGTACGTTCCTGCGTGTGTGTGGCAGAGGACAGAAGATAAATGATTGAAGTAAGTATGCCCGTACACAGTAGTGCAACCACACTCTGAGCTACGACACTGGCCCCATTAATCACCCCCGCTCCTCCCTGTATCGCAGATCCTTTCCACAGTCAGTGACATACACCATGCCTGGCTCCGAGGAGGCAGCTGCTCCTGTTGATTTAAGAAACCCTTTGGATTCCTAACCACCAGACAGGGATCAGGAAGTCAAGAAACAGTCGCACACAATTAGGAAGCTGTTAACTGCAGCCAGCATTTAAGGTTGTCCTTTTTTTTGGGAAAAATTTGTTTTAAAAGGACAGGCTAAAGAATGTATGAGTGATGCACCTTGCCTCTTTCACTTTATCAAATATTTTTGTTTCCCTTCAGTATCAAAAATAATGTCAACATTTTAATGATAGGTGTTTGCTGTTTTGAACTGAGAGTGATTGGATGAGACATTTGCTGTGCCAGTGGATAAGGGACTGACCTCCTAATAATAGCTGAACACTGCTACTAGTATTTAAATAGTGGGGTGGATGATGTGACTTGAAAAATCCTAACTTCTGGATTTGCTGTTCATCTAGGAGAGTAGCAATTGGTCAGCAGAAAAACACAGTGCTACCCATCACCTGGGGCATGCTGACTTTGTAGTGGATGTGACAAGAAAAATAGATGATTTCTGTCCGGTCTATGTGAGCCAAGCAGTTTTCTGAGAATCCAACCAACTCATATATAGACACACACACACACCCTCCACATATTTCCCATGCAAACTCAATAATGTATTTCATTCAGAGGTGTTCAAAAGAAAGAATATTGTGTTTCACTGAATCAGCTAAAATTCTTTCTTTTTTTCTAATCCTATTTATTTTGGGTTATGGCTTTCCTACGGACAGTAAGGATGGATCCCAAACTCAGTCATTAGGTACACTCTGCATTTCTTAGTTAAGTTTTAAAGGAAGAGAATATGAGAACAAAAAACAAGTTAAGTCCCAGTCTTGCAGAAATGTCTTCCCCTCCACATTGCCTGTGTAATTTTACTTGAGCCAGTATCCCTGATGGAATATATGTGTGGGTAAGGCTCTGCACACACGTCCGAGCTCACAGCGCTGCGGGATGTGGGCCATAACTCTTCACCTTTGAAGTCAGTGGGAGCTTTAGGAAGAAGAAAGAGGAAGGATTGTGGAGTGGTTATGACACTACCCTGAAAAAATTGTTCTGTTCCCATGGGTGACACCAATCTCTCGCATGATCACAAGCTTGTCATTTGGGTTTAGACCTTCAAAGGGAATTCAGCACTTAACCTCCACTAAGTATCTTTGAAGCATTTGGCTTTATTCCTCCTGTCTCTCAAAAGTCCATCTGTAAAATGGGGAGAGCAAGGCTTTCCAACTTGAGAACAGATGTTACACACAAGGCACTGGCTGAATCTAGCTGTTGAAGGACCCAAAGGAAGATCCGAAGTCCAAGATGATGCTCAGTGGAAAGCTCTCTTCCCACAAATACTTTGTGGAAGGAGGTTGGGATTCTGCTGCAATCATTAGCATAAGAGCTAACAACATTCTTTAGCTTAGAAAAATGCATCAGCCATATCTCAAGATCTATGCTATGCTGCCTGCTTTGCCTATAGAAACAGAGAGAAAGAATTTTTTTAAAAATGAGAGAAAGGAAAAATATATTGGTGCAGAGTCTTTTATCACATTTAGGGCTTACTGCCAAAGTTCAGCTGAATATTCATAAACACTGGACTATATTTAAGTACATTTTCTTATTTACTATTTTTTAATATTTGGACAAATTTTCTGGGCAGAGGCCTGATGCCAGAGTTGTGAATATCTATCTGCAAATAATTTTTTTGGACACATATAAGCACCATCAACTTTGGTTAACTTTTTTCTTTTCCTCCTTTGGATCTATTGACTACAGTGGAACTGCTCTAGATTCCGTCCAGAATCAAATCACAATCAGATGTGGAGGAATAGTGTTATCGTTCCTACTCCTATACACTACATTTCCCAATCCTCTGATAACCTTTTTTAGCCTCATTCTGTT